ACAGGGGCACAGTAGCCCACAGAAAACTGTGCTTTACATGCACATGGCAGGTCTACGTCATCCGTGGCGTTTCCTATCCTTTGAGGATACTAAGACTTTCTACGTGAGAAATCACCACCTCGCATGTCAGGGGTTTCGCTTCGGCGTTTGACGCCGGTTCCGCCAGAGACTTTGCCTTTGCTCTTGCCTTTGCCTTTGAAGTCTAGTCCAGCGTCTGAGGCTACATCACTGTACAGCTGCGTGGGTCGCCAGCTTCCGGGTTTGATGCCGAATTCCGGCCAGAGACCTCCCCGCTTCTGCGCCATAGCCTGAACCTCCTCACAGTCCCACAGGGCCCTCATCTCCCTTCCGCGTGCAGATCCAGAAAACGTCACGATCAAGACCCACGGAGCATCCATCTGCGGTGGATTGTGTGTGTTTCCTATGGCCAACACGTCCCGGCCGGCCAAGAAGCCAGCGATTTCCTGACACTTACCAACCGCGGCGGGGAAGGACTTTTCCGCGTACTCCACCAGGTACTTGATCATCCCATTGTAGAGCAGGACTTTCAAGGGCTCCACCCTGGCGGACCCTGTCGAGCTGGCACCGCCCCCGTCTCTGGCTTGGTCACGGGCTGTCTGGTACGCCTTAAGGATGCCCTGCATATGCTCCCTGAAGAGCCCCGTGAGGAACACCGCGATTTGCAAGGCAGCTTTTGCTTCCCCCATGTCCCGTGCCGTGAAGACCGTCAACTTGCTGGTCCGCTGCAGCTGAGTCCTTAAGTCCTGGAGTTCTTCGCCTTGCCGCCTAACGGTGTCCTCCAAGTCCTCCCGCCGTGGCTCGGACTGTTTAGACCTACGGTCTCTGTCCCTGCCCCGGTCTTCGTTCCGTCCCATTTCTTGCGCACTTCTCTGGGGGTTGGGCCTTTCAAGTCTCACAGGTATTGCAACTGCACACATCCAACAGACATGCAGACATGCAGCAATTAACGTGCCTACCTTACACGCACTGGCCAATCATGCAAATGTTCTTTCGTTCTGTGCCTCTTAAATGTCAGAGCTGTATTCATGTAAGCATAGCTCCCATCGCCCCTTGCCTCGCAAAGGAAGCATGATCCTGGAAATCGCGCCTCCACGTCAGAATGATCTTGAATGAAGTGCTGAAGCAGGAGTGTCTTAGCCGGATAAACTACTCCACAGTGAGGGCAAGACACAGCAGGCGAGTTACGGATATGATCCCTGCGGTAATGCTCTGTGAGTTTCCCCTGAACAAGGAATAATCTGGGACACAACTCACACTGAAAGCCGTCTTCCCGAAACGTCCCTTCTGGGTGCACGATGCGTACATGAGAAGAACGAGCTACCTTCGTGTCAAAACTTCTTTCACATAACGAACACGGGAAATTACCATGACGATTCGGACTAGCCTGCCGCCCATACCTTTTGATGCGAACCCGTACTCCCATTTGGGGCGCCGCAGGCGGTGGTGGCGGCGGTATCGGTTGGGCATTTTCTGCTCTAGCGTGTGCAACATTCGCGCCATGAGCCGGAGCAGGTTGCTTTCCAATCAAACGACGGCGAGTATCTGTGTGAGTGCCTACGTCCGAACAGACCTTCCATCGTGCCGCGCGCACAACCATTGCCATTAACCCAAGATCCGCCTCCGCTACCAACAAATCATCCCACTCCGTTGTCATGTCCACCACAATTTCTTCATCCGTCATATCCATCCATGTGTCACTATATTTGTTGCTGAGCTCATCCAAAACCCGCACAATCAATGCATCTCGCCCCCCCAAACTTTGTTCAGCTTTTAAGACGCCATCAGTAAAGGTTTCTTGCTTGAACCATTCCTGTTGCTGTTTAACATGTTCCACAAACGTCCGCTTCACCGTTCGCGACGAGGCATTCCGCGACCGTTCCTTTGCACGATCAGGAGGATCTATTCCTGCCCGAGGTGTTTTGGGAGTATACCAGCGAGCAACTTGAAAAACTTTTGTACGCCATTCCGACCCATGGTTACGGCGCGCAGCCTGCAGCCATCCACTAAAAGGAATACCTGCCTTCTCCAAATCATTGACAAAATCAAATGCCAACCATTTCCCGCTGCGCCTTCCGGCTTGCGTGGGCACCCCAACACTGCCAGGAAAAAATGCAAAAAGCATTTGTTTGGGTAACCGATTATTGTTCATTCGTGCCACATGTCCCAACCAGCGTGTCTGAGCTTGCACAATCATATCGCACACCGTAGGTACACCCAACCAATCCCGCAGTTTACCGCTGTTAAGATGCATCTGTTCCTGCTCCCAAATGCCGATTTTAGAGATTTTGCGAAGGCACACCATCTGAAACTGTTCTAGCTTTTTTTCTACATTGAAAAGTGGTCGTCCAGGTTTCGCATCCGTACAACAACACCGAGACCACACATGCTCTATATACCCGTATTTTTATAGAAAGGGACAACTGTTTGACGTCCCAGACATTAGACGCAAGTCTCCAAAAGGCTTTTCGTGCTTTGTCAATTCTACGGGTTATATCATCCTCACACCCTTGTCTCGTGCTCACATCCGCTCCTAAATATTCAAAATTTTTTGTGAACTTCACCTGGTCAAAACCATCAACCTCTTCAACCCGGACCGGTCCCGGCAATTCCCCTTGCGAGACCAACGCCTCAGTTTTTTCGACTGACATCGTCAATCCCCATTGTTTGTATAAGGTTTGGAGCCCTAAAATCGTTTTGACCAGCTTCTCATATGTATCCGTGAGGAAAGCAGCATCATCGGCGTACCCAAGATCGCTGAGCTTCATGTGATCCCATGTCGAGTACTTGTTTAGAGAACCTTCATCCATGTGCCTACGTAAGATACCATCAATACGGTACGGAAGTGTGAGATGTGTATCCGCAATGTGGTACCATTCTTCCATAACCGCCGCCAAGTATATGTTGAACAAAAGTGGAGCCAAGCAACAACCCTGTCCTAAACCAGTGCGAAGCTCAAATTCTTCCGTGAGTTCACCCTCCGCACTGACCCGCGCTGTTTTTCCCGTATAAAACTCTTTGATGAGTTTAATCATGTTGTCCGGCACTCCTTTTGCCTTCAAAATCCCCCATAGTCCAGACCTGTTAACAGAGTCATAAGCTTTCATGAGATCGACGAACACGACATAAAGGTCGATCTTCTTAACCCGTGCCAGTTCTAGAGCCATCCTTAGCGTGAAAATCATGTCCACCGTTCCCCTTCCAGCTCGGAAGCCGCATTGCGTCTCCGGCAGTATTGCATTGCGTTCCACATGTGCCACCAAGCGACCATTAAGAATTTTGGCAAAAACCTTACCAGGCACTGACGTCAAGAGTATTCCTCTCCATTTTTTGCAATATGTCAAGTCTCCCTTTTTTGGCAGCGGGACTAGATATGACTCTTTCCACTCTGTAGGCATAGGACACACTCCCGTCCAGATCTGGCAAATGATTTCGTGCAACGTCCGTTTAAGTGTCGGATTCAGTGCCTTCAACAACTCCGCAGTTATTCCGTCAGGACCTGGCGCCTTTCCCGTGTTAAGTGTGGAGATTGCTGCAAGAGTCTCTTCGTAAGACGGTGTGTTTCCAAGGTCTTTACATTCCGTGACACGCGCAATCATCCTTATTCTATCTTCTGACACCTCTGTTTCCACATTGAGCAACTCCTCAAAGTATTCCTTCCACCTGTCTAATCTCTCTGGCTTTCCATGCAAAATGTTGCCTTTTTTGTCACGAATACGGCAGGGGGCGCATTTCCCAGAACCAAACACGGCACGCAACTCCCTGAACCCCTTAAACTGGTGATTAGGTTCTTTCCGGTCAACTGCCTCCTGTATGGCCTGCGCCTTTGCCATCCACCACTTGTTAAGAACGCGACGCACCTTCTTTTTATTAGCCTTGCACACATTTCTGTAGCGCAACCTTGCTGCCTCACCTCCATCCATTGCGGCATATGCCGCAGCTTTTTCACGCGCCAACGCTCCTAGCTCCTCCGCATTATCCACCTGCCACTGCGGTCTTCGACAAGACAATTGTATGCCTAAAACCTTTTCGCCCACTTTGCGCAACGCTCTTGCCCATAGTTCGTAACAGTCAGTTAGGTTTTCGCCAACAAGCTCCGAAAATTCACTATTGACTTGTTTCGCAATTGACTCGTCCCTGAGTTTAGACAAATCCAAGTTGGGATTTCGCACCAGTCGTGCAGATTGTATGCTCCCAGTTTTTTGTCGACAACGTCTCATCACCCGAAGCGATGTTCGGACAAGGCGGTGATCCGTATCAAAATACAACCCTGCCATAACCTTAACATTTGTAAACAATGCTGCCGTGCGACGAGAGGCCAACACATGATCAATCTGATGCCATTGCTTCGTGCGATTGTGCTGCCACGTGCCATACGTCTTATGCTTATAGTAAGTGCTCATTATTCTCAAGGGATGTTTAAAGCATCCTCTACAAAAATCCAGTAGGAGTCTCCCGTTTTCATTCCGCTCCGTCATTCCATAGTCACCCAGCACTAAATCATTACCAGCTTCCTGATCTGCTTCCACATCCGCCGCACGCGTTCCCACCCTGGCATTGAAGTC